CACCCACCCCATGCTGGAGATGGGTGGTGAGATAGGCAGATGTGGGTAAGGAGATTGCAGGGAGCCACTGAAGGGCTGGCTTCTCTGCTGAGGCGTTCTCTAAGGCTTTTGGCTTTTGCAGACTAGAGCCAATGCTTTTTTGAGTTCGGTTCTGCAAGGGATAAATAAAAAAACCCACCAAAACTAAACTCAAAAGATGTATTTGTGGTGACCTGATAATTTTTCTGAAGCAGATTCCATTAGCATGGAGATCTGCTATAAATCTGCTAGGCTAGTGTCCTGCTGCTGAGTGAATGTGGGCGATCACTACACATCAAATTAGTCATCTTGAAAACCACAAGCTACTTAAGAAAATGAATTGTTCGTGGCTGTCTTTAATCCAAACCTTGAGAGTGTCTCCTGATAACTCAGAATGCACTGGGAGGGAGCCAGCTTGCCTCCGCAGTGCCTGGGAGTGCTTAGTTAGCTTACCTTGCTTTCCTTTTCCTCTCCGGCGGAATTGCTTTGCTCGTGTGCATGTTTCTGTTTTCCCTCTTCCTATCTTCAGGACCACGTGCTGTTTTGTCTGCGGAGAATCAGCCAGGCAACACACATCCAAGAATTCCCTGTGTGCAGAAGTGCTGGATGTCCTTGACTGGGGTTCAGATAGCGGAAGCTTTATTATTTGGGGGCTGGTGGGCTGATGTAAGAGGAAAGGCAGCAAACTTCACACTGCTCTCTCTGCTCAGGGACTTGCATTTCCTCTTCTGCGTAGCCAGTGCTATCTGTAAGCCTGCGGCTGACTTGTTGAATTTGTATGTGCATGCAGTGGAGGTAATGGGCTTAGAGAAGTGCCTGTTCTGTCTTCTTCCACCCCACCCCTTCACGAAGCTAAATACTTCCTTTTTTTTCCTAAGCACTGAAATAACAAGAGAAGGGAAACCGAGCTGTGTGGCAGCTATGGGGCTTGATGAATGTTACTTGAAGAGGAAATTTGTTTTACCTAACCAGAGAACTTCCTGTGTTGGTTGTCTGTACGTCTAAAGATCTAGAAATTATGTGTAAGGCCGCGTCCGTGTTGCAGCATTTCCCTGTGTGTGTGGCTTAGAAGTGTTGTTCACTGGGATATGTTTGCTTCTGGCTTTTGCATCTTTAGCTCAGGGATGTTCATATGCGTTCTCTTCCCTAAAAGTCAGATTCAGCAAGTTGCAACCATTTTAATAAGCACTTGTAGAACCTTCTGTGGTCTGGCTCTTCCCGAATCAAAGCAGCCTTGCTGTGCACCCTGCCCTGTAACCCTGGAGCACAGACAAATTGAAGGTGGTTATTTGGAAAAGAAAATGTAAAGAAAGCAGTTTACAAGGATTAAAAAAATCCAGCAAACTGACAGGGCCTGGAAAAGTGCTCCTAGGTAGTCTTCTAAAAGCCTGGTATCATCTTCTTCCCTATAAGGATTACCTGTGTATGATGGCAGAGTGGTTTTTGAACAGGATTGCAGCAGTTTTGGAGAGTGGGAGGGTGAAGACCTACAGAGCAGTTGGACTTTTCTGACAAGAAGACTTCCTTGGCTGAAATACATGTACCCCAGTTTGTATTTGGCTCAGTTAATATGCTCTACCCCTTGTCCAGGCCAGTTTCTTTGTCTCCTTCTCTGCTGTACGTGTACTAAAAATGTCTACATTAGTTTAACTGCCAATGGTACTTTTTTTAAGCTGACTGCACACACAGCTTTTCTCCAGTAGATGCAGATGAGGTGGTTCATTAAAATAAAAGATGTGCATGGCCTTTGCCTCTATCCTGAATCCTTCTTTCCTGTTAACCTGAATTTAGATCAGAGAAAGTGCAACATTGACCAGAGATGTACTTGAGCAACATTTTAATGATTTGAAAGGGACCCTAAAGAAGCTGTTGGATGAGCGACTGATGTCACTGCTGCAGGAAGTGGATGCTATAGAACGAGAGAGCATCAAACCCTTGGATGAATGCCAGAAGCTAATAGAGCACGGGGTCAGTACGGCTGATGATCTGCTCCGGGAAGGTAAGGCAGGATCTGAGACTAAGTCTTGGCTCTACCTTCCAGTGCGTGTGTCTCAAAGTCTGGAATATCCCTGTTATGATGAGCATGTTTGGCTCATTTTGGACTTCCCTCAAACCAAATGTTAAGAAAAGGTTGAAGTTGGGAAGATGTAGGGAAGAGCTGTTCAATATTATCTCCTACAAATCCATGTTTCAATACTCTACTCCGATCTTAGGGTGTACGTATGTCAGTGCAGCTTCTCCTTAAGGGTGGGAAGTACCTCCTTTGGAAATGTCTCACTGAGACAGAGATGTTCTGTACCCCTTCACACTAGAAAGAGGATTATGTCCAGCTACATTGAAAAGAAAAAAATACATCTCTGGTACCATAATAACAAAATTTCTCTGTTGGTTGAATAAAGTTATTTGTGTCTTAGTGGAATAGCAGCTGAAGTAAAGCAGTTATCTTCCCTGCTAAGTGTGATTATGTTCACTGTTGATGGGGAACATGAGGGATGAGATGGTCTCTGTATGGGCAAAATATCTCCAGAAAGTCTGAGGATGAGGCAGACAAAAATGGACATGTGGAATATTACTGTAAAGGCCGGTTTGTGCCCTACTGATGCTAAATATCTAGCCAGAAAAGATTGTCACTCTTGCCTGTTTTCCCCACACTGGAGAACCTACTGAGAGCATGTCTGAGCCATGAGTATGTTGGCAGTTTCCTTGCATTGTTCTCATGTCTCAACTTTAACTTTCTTTCAACATGATCTCAGTTTTGTGAACTAAAGTGCATTGAGCAGTCTCCGACGAGTAGGAAATGTACCAGCTTCCACTCAGACGTGGGCTCTGTGCTGGAAGAGTGGGCTGCGTGAGCTCTGTGCTCCTGTCCACTGCAGTGGTGGCACGATTTAAGAATTATTTCTTGGGGTTTTTTTCTCTGGGACAGCTGATAGTCAGCTTGCTCTTATTTTAAATGTCAAGTTACTGAATCACAGGGTGTTTGCCTGTGTTTTGTACGAGTTTCTATCAGATCTCAGGAGAACCTGACTAGCTGTGCACTTGTATCTTGTGGGTCACTGTTCCCTGTGCAGCAGTGGTGTTGCTAAGTCATCAGACCAAGCAGGCGTTGCGTCTGAGTCAGAGAGGAGTTAAGCCTCCGTGGTTATTAAACCTCCTGCTGCCAATTATGACGTTTGCTTTTCTTTAGAGATCTGTAACATTTGTAATCCTCCATTTGGAAAAGGACTGAGCTTGCTTATGTTGTAAATTACCCTAAAATCATCAGATAGGAGAACAGAGCACACATCTCTGTAAGCTGAAGTGTGGGACACTACTTTATATGGAAAGCTTATGAAAAGATTTATATTTATCTCCACACTTTAATGCATGGATTATGTCCTTCATTCTGACAATAGTCACATTTAAATTGTAGCAAACAGAACGATGCTTGAAATGATTTTTTGCTTTTAAGCTCCTGCTGTTTTATTTTCTGATGGGTGAAGGTGCTTTGCTTTTTTCTTCCTTTAAAGCAGGTGGAGGAGGGGGTTGAAAATCCTCATTTCTGGCATCTGACCCCAGTTCTGCTACTGTGTGAGACCTGAGGCAAATTATTACATCTGTTATGGGTGTGTCTACAGGAAGCTTTGAGAGCTTCAAAAGTTGCTGGATAGGCTTTATATTGTTAACTATAATTGTATTTTCTAGCTTAGAGTCTAGCAGAAGTGCTGAGAATGCTTCATGTGTAATTGGTTGTTCGTGTCAGAACTGGTTACTCTTTGAAGCAAAGAATGCCTGTCTTGGACGTTGTCTCATTAGGAATATTTTTATTCCAGGAGAGAGTGCAGTCCATGGAGATGTGGGACAGCAGAACGAGAAACTTTGCATCTTTACAAAAAAAGCTTTACAAATTCAGCTAGATAGGTAAGATACTGACACACTGAGGTGATCGGAGGCAGAGGCACATGTGCCCTTCTTGTACAGGGGATCTTTTCTCCTTTGAAACAAAAGCCTTCCGCTTCATTGCCTTAAAATACTCATTTGACATGTTACTGTCCTGTTTGTTTCATACACTTGATGGGGCTGGCAGTCACAGAATAGAGTAGTATTCAACCTCCATATGTTCTGTAGAAATATAGGCTGTTTATTTGTGAACGATGAAACTACTCCTTGTGGAACAGCCTGTATTTCAGAGTATTTACTGAGAAACAGTCTGGTTAGGGCTGAAACACAATGTTTTCTGAGTCTTTTAAGTTTGAAATGCACATGCCAATTTCTGCAGCTGTTCGCTCTTTGCAAATCTGCACAGACTCAAGTGTATGGGTGAAATATGAATTTGTAGAAGCAGGCCCCTTCCATTACAACAAACTTTCCTTTCTCAGCTTACCAGAAGTGCCCTCCTTGGTTGATGTGCCTTGTTTATCTGCCCAGCTGGATGACTGCCTTCTTACTATATTGAAAAATCAAATATTCGGGCATGGAACTGTGGCATCTCGCCCGCCTGTACAGCTGGAGGAATTCATTGAGAAGCCTGGAGGTATTTTAGTCCGATGGTGTAAGGTGGGTAAAATATCCTGAGTGAAAATCATTCAGAATTCAGTTTTGTTGAAAGATGCTGAAAAAGCCACTTTGATTCTGGTTTCTTTGCTGCCCTCAGAGCAATAATGAACTTCAGTGTGTAGTTAGAAACTTGAAAAGAGATTTTGATGCTGATGGCCTCATTTAAAGGCAAGGCAATCTAGTGATGCTGTGGTTGGCACTGGGATTTGTGCCTGTTTGGCAGGGATGCTTATGTGAGACTTTTGCTGTTGGGCTCTACCTGCTCCCATCTGCAGGCAGAAGGGGCTGACACACAGTGCACCTCTCCCTTGCAGTCTGCTTCCCTGACTGTGGTAAGTCAGGAGGGGCAGCTGAAAGCACTGCTAACCCTGCTTCCCAGGCTTAAGCAAGTGCCACGTACTGGACAAGCAGGAAACAACTCCTTCATATACCCTTCCCACTAAACAAACACAAGGGTGTGATCTATCTGTGATGATGTTGTACAAACAAGGCCAAGAAATCCCGGTGTGTGTGTTTGACAGGTGAATCACAAGTAGCCATTCGTGCTGTGGAAGCAAGTGGTTTGTGTGGCAGTAAGAGCCAAACACACTCAGTGAGGCTGAACTTCATTTGCTGAGGTGATGGTTTTTTTCCCTTTGAAGATTTTAGCAGACCCAGGATAAGGCTCAGCCTGTTCTGTTCTGTTTTCACTCCTACGTATGTTTGTGTTTTTAGGGAGATCCAGTGGTTAGAAAGAGAAAATATTTGAATACTGGCATTAGCTAGTCAAGAACCATTTCTCTTCAACACCCAAGCCCTGTTTTTGGGTAAATCACTGCTGTGGTCTGATGTGGTTTAGTTGTTGTTGGACAGCTCTGCGGTCCTTGGCAGCATTATACAAACTTGTTCTAGCAGCAGCCAGCAGTTGGTCAGGCACCTTACCTTGTGAAGGATGTGGACTGTAAAACCATAGGCACTGTTGTCGCCTGTGGTCTGATTTTTCTGTGCTCGAGAGGAGTTCCTGAAGTTGGTCATGTTCATGGAAGAGTAGAGCTGTGGAGGGTTATTTTTTTTGGGGGGGGGAGGATATGGGGATGATAATCTCTTGTGACTTAAAGATACCAAAAAATTGGAAATGATTCCTTGGAACAGTTTATGAAGGATAACAATGGGTTTCCCTTGCTGTTAAAAACTGGCACTGAATTTCTTCTGCAGATTTGTCTTCAGCTTTTGGCTGAAGGATCTCGTTATATCTCTGCTAGATTGAAAAGCCTTCTGTTAAATGTTACTTCTTTAGGTACTTTTAAACTGTAATTGACTAATTCTTACAGTTCTTTTTGTATTAGTGGCTTCAGACTGATTTTATTGTCTGTAAGGCTTTCTGCTCTTTAATACTTTGTGACTCTGAATCACCTTTGGTGGCAGCCTGCGGCACTGGCCTATTATGTGCCACTTCAGGGGCAAAAGGAAAGAAAAGAGGGGGTCCTTTATTAATGCAGTAAATGTTTCTGTAGGTGGATGAGGACTTCATACCACAAGATTACCGACTGCAGTATCGGAAGGGTACTGCCAGTCACTTTGAAGATGTGTATGTTGGCTCGGAGACGGAGTACGTGGTGCTGCACATCGACCCCAATGTTGATTACCAGTTCAGAGTCTGTGCCCGAAGAGATGGACGGCAGGAATGGAGCCCGTGGAGTGTTCCTCAGATCGGCTCTACCACGCTGGTGCCCCATGGTACTGTTTCCTTGCTGTCCATCTTCATCTTAAGCCTGTGCCATTAGTGCAGCACTCCTAAAGCTCTGTAGCTCAATGACTTCTGGAGCTGCATTTTGTATGGTGATGGGGTGTCCTTAGCTAGTGTGTGTATGTAAGGTATGATGAACTATCCTTTTATCCTACCATTGAGCCTTTGCTTCCTACTGTGAAGGATTGGTAGTGAGCCTTTCCAGCAGGTAGCTCATTGCTTAGCCTTGGAAAGCATCAATGAGCCAGAAGCAAAGCATTTATTTTCCTTCTCCTTCATCCCTACCTAAGCATGTTTTGATGACTACAGTCTCATAACAAGCTTTTGTCTTGGAGAGAGAAACACCTACATTTTCTCTTCACTTGCAAATTTGGGCAGTGGGTAATGAAGGTTTTCCTTTGCCTACAATATGGCTTCAGCAAAGAGTGAAATTCTGCTGAGCTCTGTGAGCTGGGAAGTACTTCTTGTAACAGCAAATCATTTGAAAAAGAAATCTCTCTGTCAGAGATGGCAAAAGCAGCCCCTGTTCTTACCACAGCTTAAGCTTCCTATTGAGCTAAACGGAGCGGACATTGTGACTGACTTGATTCTGCACAGACAGTAGCGAGTTGAGTTGAGGTTCATGCTTCTCATGCCTTTAATTTCCCCCCCCCTGTTTTCTCCTTTGAAGAATGGACAACTGGTTTGGAGGGATACAGCTTGAGCAGTCGCAGAAACATCGCACTTCGAAATGATTCCCAGTCGTGCGGTGTGCTCTACTCCAAAGCTCCTACTTATTTCTGTGGGCAAACGTTAACATTCAGGCAAGTGCTTTCTGGGGAGCTGTTGTCTGGTGCATCTCCTGTGAGCTCTTACATCTGAAGTGTATGTAAAGCTGAGTCATGGTGTGTATTTGAGTTTTATATCGGCTCAGCCCCACTCGAGGGGCTGTGTCTATGTGAAGTCTGAACTTCCCTCTCCTTACAACTGCTTCCTGGCTCTAGGAAAACACCTGATGTTTTTGTGGGACCTGCACCTATCTAAAACAGCAACAAGTGAACTCCCAAGGGATGGTAAAATATAGCCCATGCTGAGCAAGTCTGTGGGGTGTTGAACTTCCTTGAGCTTTGAAGCAGCTGTTACTGGCTGGTCAGATGTCAGTGGAGATTTGCCACTGGTTCTTCTTAACCTTGTGTCAGTGGGTGCTTTCCTTCCCAGACTGTCCACAAGCTCTGAAGACTTTGAACTTGAAAACACTGTATGTGTTGTTGGGACAGACAAGGATGACAGTCTGGCACTGATGTCTTTAACGTCTGAGGTGAATAGTGCTCATCAGGCTACTGCTTGAATCTGCCATTACAATATCCTGAGTGGAGAAGGGATCTTGTGAAATTCAGTTTGACACAGAATGTGACTTAAAACCTCAGCAGCTTTGCTGCCAAAGATGATGCTGTTTAACGGGGTATGAGGAATGTCCTTGTGGACATGTTAGTTGTAATGACAGACCTCAGAGCCTCTGAAGCTCTATCCCATCTTTCCCTGGTTAAATAAAACTACTTGCTGTACAGTAGGCAACCCTCAAAGGCAATTTAAGGGGGCTGTTAATGGTATTTTTGTGACTTATTCCATGGTGGTTTATTTCTCCCTGCCTGGTAATGAATTATCTTAACTGTAGATGGTTGTAGTATGAGGGTATATTCGGTTGCCCTGTCTGAGATGGGATAAAAGGATCTAAAGTTTTTATTTGAAATCTCTTGCTGGATTTAATATCTCTTGGCTCAGAAATGCCTGTGAAATTAAAGACAGAACGTTGAGGTTTCCCTTGGTTCTGTTTCAGACCAATGCCTTTTATCTTTTTTTATTGGTAGCACATGTAAATCTTCTGCTGTACATTTTGGTACCGTGGACTCCTCTCCAAGAGGAGATGGTTTCAGGATGGCAGAGCACTGACAAGCACATGTCCACAAGAACTATAATGACACAATCTTGAGACTGAAGATGACCTCAAGTATCGGTTGTATTCCTCGTCCAAGGTCCAAGAGTAGCTTCTTGTTTGCAAGTGTGTGAGATTTTCCACTGCAGGGAGGTGTAGTACTTGGTGGTTGGCTTTCTCCATCTGTTGAAACAAAAGTGTATTCACAGGGGGGTATGTGGCTTGCAGAGCAAACCAAGCAAGCAAGGTTCACATTACAGATGTTTGTGAAGCAGCTTTGTCTTCTTGTGTGTTCAGGATGCAGGCAGCTCATCAGTGAAAAGTGAAGCTGTGGTAAACACAATGCTTTGTATCTGCTTTTTAAAGATAGACTGCTTCAGTTGTCCTCTGAGGGTGAGGCATTTGGACAAGTTGTAGGAGAACATCATTGCTTTAAGTCAAGGCTCATCCTGTTTCTTTGCAGCCTTTAGGGAGCTGCCCTTAGGAAAGGGAATGTTTCTCTGCAGTGACCTGCTCTGCTCTCCCAGAAGCTTTTGCTTGCAGTGGGGAGCCCCGCTCATTCTGGCCACGCTGGTGATGGGGATCATCCAGCAGAAGCCCTATGAAGATCACACTGACTTTGTCAGGAACCCATCAGAGCTCTGCTGAGAGCTAATGCAAAGAAAGTGTGTGTGATCACCCACAGATTTACTTCTCTGTGCCCTGAGACAAATGGAAACTGATGGTGGTTGGACTGGTTCCGTGTCTGCGTGCTGCAGTGGCAGAGGCAAGGTTTTGCTCTGCAGCATGGGAAGTGGTGAGAAGGGATTTGAACAGTGTTGTGTTCCCCTGAGCATTGTTCTCCCACATATGCTGTGGGAACTTAAAAGCTTTAAGTCCCAGGGATTGTAAGTTTGTTAATGTGATAGAAAAAACCCAGCCTTATAAAGTGAAGCTTAGGAGATTGTGCAGTGATACTCTGCTGTACTTGGGCACTTTGTCTTGGGCTGGTTATTAATTGCTGAAAAATCAAAACCTAGGAAGGAAAGGAATGCTGATCTATGCCAGATCCTTGTCCTCGTCCCTGTGCATGTGAGAGGAGGAATTACAGCTTGGCTGTTGTCTTATGCACTCAGGTTTTGCTTCCTCTTGATGGTATCAGGAAGGTTTGGCTCTTTCGTACCTGGTATTAGCATGCCCAGTCTGGTCCCTGGGGGGAGGGCAGCTCCGATGCTGGGAAGCCTGGATGTGGGGAATACAGAAGTACATGATAAAAGATAGCCTCAGCCTGGGTCCAGTATGGATGCCATTGAGGAGAGCACTGCACCTAAAACCTGAGCTGGTCCTGGGCTGACGCCCTGGTAAAAGTTCCCACTCTGCTGTAACACTGCTCCTACCTCAGTGCATTTGCTGTCCTGTTGCTTGGTTGATGTTTTCTTTCTTCCTATTGCTGCTGGTCCAGTTACCTTGACAGTGCTCTGCTGAAAACAAGTGTGGATACAGATTGACATGACAGAATTCAGACTTTTTAATGGGTTTACATTATGCATTTTTGGTCATTCTTGTGATTGCACAAACACTTATTTCCGACCCAAAACTCAAGAACGGCTCCTTTAACTAGGGATGGAATGAATTAATGTTCACGTTAGGCACAAAGTTAACAGATCAATAGCTACTTATAAAGCTTAACCAATAACTGAGGCAGAGTTTAAAATCTAGAGTAAAGTATCAAAATGAATTTGAAATCTCATTTAAAGTTGTTTTGGGCAAACACTGTGGATCACTTCCAAAGTAAAAGCTTCTTGGATTTTTCTTTTTCCCTGCTGCTTTTCAGTACAAGGCTTTTGCTATCCCAGTGATGTTCCCAGGGGACTGAAAAACCTAATGGAGTGCAAAAGTAAAACATGGTTCCAATTTTATCTTCCCTGTTTGTCTTGAAAGAGTTAACCCATTGTGTCCCAGTCTGCTGCCCAGTGTAATTTCCAGCTCTTAAAAGCTTCTGCTGAAGTTTTTGTTGTTTGGCAACAACCACGTATCAGTGCTGTTCTCTCTCAAGCTGTAATGGAATAACCACTGGTTTACTATCTAGAAAAGACCATCTGAGTTTCCTGAGTCACTCAGGCTCTCTGCTATGAATTAACACCTTTGAGAGACAGCAGTACAAGAAAAGTGACTAAAGTACAGAAGAGCCCTTTAGTGTACAAAGTGCAGCCCTGCTCCGCTGCAAGGGCCCAAAGGGAACTGCATCCCAGGTCACTTGCACAACTTCTGTTCAGAAATCCTTTCCCAGGACCAAGATCCTAAATGCAGCTGAGCAGAAGCCAGACTTGTAAATGCTTTTCTAGTCATTGGGTTTAATACACAGTTGTCCCATTATTATTATTATTATTATTATTATTAAAAAACCCAATCAAAACCCAATAACCCACCACCACCAGAACACATCAGCCTTCCACCCCACGCAGGGCTCAAGCCCCCTCTATCAGTCACACTTATTAAATAGCTGCTGAAACCACAGCTGTCTTACCATAATACATGATGCTGACCAGTAATCTGGTGTAGATGATGGTAGACTGCAGGTTTGTGCATATTGGTTGCTTTAGACAACTGGAAATTATTCCAAAAGGCTCTAAGCTGTGACAGTGGAGAATTTTATTAAATAGCAATGAGGGTTTGCAGGAAGCAGATTCATGTTTCGTACAGATTCATAGCAAAGAGTTGCTCAATGGAACTGTTGGGAAAGCTGGTAGGACTTCAATAGGTGGGACTTCAGTAGGACCAGATTCAACAGGGATCTCCCCAAAATAGTGGGCGAGTCTGCTGAAAGCCCTGAGCACAGCACAGAGGTCTGGTGTGACAGGGTCTGAGTGTCTGGATTTCACTGTGTGTTTTTATTTAAAGCTTCAGGGTTTGACTTGAATTTTTGCTTGGTAGAATTGAAACTGTGGGACAGCCAGACAGACGAGACAGCCTGGGAGTGTGCGTGGAGCAGCAGAATGGCTGCGATTCCTTGCAGCGGGATAAAGCCGTGTGCATTAGCACAAATGGTGAGTGAATCCCATAACTGAGGAATGTGGTACTTTGTACTTCCCCAATCCCATAGCCCCTGTTTTTTTACATCCCTGAATCACATACGAGCAACTTCATCCAGCTTTTATGCACATACTGCTTGTGCAGTTAAAATCTTTGGCGAGATCATGGATCAACTTTTCCTGCTTGCAGTTACTGCAACCTGTTTGATGTGACAGAAAGGAATGGGGCAGGGTTGCTTTCCTTTCCTGCAAAAACCAGGGACACAGTAGTGCATGTTGGCACGTACAGAAAGTGAGCAATAATGTTGGTTATCTGGCCTGTTTCAGGGGCAGTGTTTGTAAATGGAAAAGAGATGACAAACCAGCTGCCTGCTGTTACTTCTGGATCGACAGTGACGTTCGACATGGAAGTTGTGCACTTGGGGCCTTCCAGCAACGAGGGAGGAAACTTCAAGCTCCGGGTAACCATTAGCTCCAACAACAGAGAAGTGGTCTTTGACTGGGTACTTGATCAGTGCTGTGTCTCCTTGTACTTTGGATGTTCATTTTCATACCCAGGCTGGAAAGTTTTGGTGTTCTAGCAGCGAGTAAAGGGATTTTTGTTCTTGCTCTAAAGTGTTATGTTAAAACCTGGATTTCCAGTCGTTTGACATCAACAAGCTGTTAACAAAACCCTGTCCTTATACTACTTGAACTCCACTATATTGTACTTCCTACTGGATTCATTTAAACAAGTAATTGTGAAACATTGGATTTGCTACTCTGGAAAAAGTTAGAAACAGGCATTTTTGTAGGCAAATTAATTTAAGCAGTCCGCCAGCCCTTTCCCTTTTCTCCTCCAGACTTGATTTTTGTCAGTATTTCATTGTACTCTAGTCTCAGGGTACAGGTGTTGTGTAGAATTAACTTTGCTTAATGCTGCTGTTCTGTGAAATAAGCCTGTAAACATTTAGGGGGGGCGAAGGGGTGGTAATGGACCAAAGTTTTATTTATACCACTCAAAACAAGCACAGTATTTAGAGCAGCAATGTCCTGCTATGCTTCCTTGTGCACAGCACTGCCTTAATTGTATGAAGGGATAGTGGGTTCCGCATGCAACAGCCCTTTCTTCCACGCACGGTACTGTTCATTCCTCCAGAGCAAGGACTTCTGAGCCATAATGTGTGTTAAATATGTAGCCAGTCCGTTAATGTCTCACTTAAGTGCCTTATTCCCAGATACTTCTTTAACTGTTGTTCACTTGGAATATATTTTTCTAAAGCAGCTCATGGTGCTGCTTACATCAACTTGATGTGGATGCTTGCCTCAAACTAGGCCAATAGCTAGAGTAGGACAGTTACCCTTGTCTGCTCTCAGTGTCTTCCCTAGTTAAAGTTACCACCAGAGCAAGTCTTGCAATTCAGTACTTAGGCATGACATGCAGATTGGCAGCTGTGATTCCTCACGGAGCCCTTCTAGGACTTGGAGACAACCTTCTTTCTATTGTCCAACAACAGACACAGTGGAAGTGCTGTTCCGATGTGCAGGAGTCCTGGAAAGCCATTGTGTGCAATAGTGCAGGTTGGTGTTCTAAGCTGCCCGAGCAAGCTGGGGTTCCTGCTGGAGATCCACCTTGGGAGGTAACAGAGATGGGCACTGGGTAAGGGCTTCTCACAAACCCCACTGTAACCTGTGACAGTCAAAATGGAGCAGATGGTGGTAATTTACTCTCTCCTCCATTGGTAGGGTGGGATAAGAAATTATGATTGATGAATTGACTTTGAATTCAGAAGTTACAGAAAGTTATCACTATTTCCCCTAAGGAGCAACTAAGGTTTAGAATAAGCTTATCAAAGAGAGCCTATTCCTGGTCAAAAGCTAGCAGTACTACTGGATTTAAAGCCTATTTTCAAGTAATACTCACTGAGGGTAATCTTACCTCAAGTTCAATTAAAATTAAGTATATTTTAGCATGTTAAAATAATAATATTTTTATACAATGTAGACAATCAGTCTGGCCTCAGTGTCACCACACTGCATTAGCCCTCTATGCTAGCATAAAAAGCCTTAATTTACATTGGATGAGCATGTCCCATACTCATGTTGTCAGTACAAAAAGATCAGTCATCCCACTGCATTTTTCCCCAGGCACCTGCAGGAGGGATACACAAACTTCAGAATAGGAGTTGGTATTTATACCATTTACAGGAAAAAACAAATCCTGAGTAGATCCCGACAGATGCAAAGAGCTCACACAGGGCAAAATGAGGCTGGAACTTGCTGTAAGACATGAAGTGAGGAAGACTGGATCCCTGCAGGTAAAATTATCCAGTGTTAGCAACAAAAAGCCTGCAGTATTATCAGTTCTTCAAGCTTATCTATTTCACTATTGGGAGTAGAGTACCAGCTGAGCTGTACTTCCAGTGGTAAGTTATCCTGGGAAGAGTATCTTCAACTACATTTAAAATACAGTTCTTTTCCTGTAGCCAGGATCAAACAGTACCAGTCCTGTTCAGAGAGGGTCAGGCTGGCACTCCAGCTAGCAGCCAACCTAAATCTTGCCCCAGATATTAATGCTGGTGATTTCACTTACTTCAGGTGTCAGGTACTAGTTGTAACTTAGTACTTTTACCATATGGAAGCTAAACTAGTGAATATCTACACTTGTGAGGTACCAGCGGGTCAGGTACCTTTTCATCTGCTTTTGGAGGAGCATCAGACTTGATTCTGCAGGATATATACTTGCATATTAGAAAATAAAGCTTAAGCCTTGAATTCAGGTACTTCCAGAGATGGTAATGCCATGACAGCTTGTTTAGAATATATGTATGAAGCAGCCTGAGGTGAGACTGTGAAGGGCTGGAGGAAACCCTTGTTGCACCCCTTGAGAGCCAAGCTTGGCAATAGGCACAGTTTCTCTGATCCAGTCTTTAGCTGTTGTGTATTCAACAAAGGCAGCTGCCAATGGGGAGTGGTTTGGGGTTTCTAGTGGGGTGTTTTGTTGTTGTTTAACATAGCACAAGCCTAACTGTCCAAACTGCACATCAGGTACTGCTCAGCCACCCCTTAGTGCTGCACCTTTTAAACCTGTGGGGTGTGAAGAGTCTCAGGGCAAGAGACGCAAGTAATAAAGTAACAAACTATGCAAAGAATCAGAAGAGGCTTGAATGAAAAAGGGTAAAATTCTGTCCTTCCACAGCAGGGTTCAGCTGGACAGAAAACTTGACACTGCCTTTAGTTTTCCACCTCTAGCTATTGGAGCCTTGCAAGGAGCAGAGTGCTGTGTGAAATCGAGTCCTGAAAGGTGTTCTCTTAAGCTGGTGCATTCACTTACCTCAACCAAGAATTATGTGTCAAGTGCAAGTTGAATTTTTTTTAAATAAAGGTTTATCCCTCAGTGGTGCAGTCTGCTAAATGATTTATTGGGTATAAACCTGAGCATCCCTGCGTTGTAACGGTATAAGCACATGTATGCTGTACTACTGCAGCCACAGTCAAGAGCTTCTGTCCCTCAAAGTCCCAATTACTTTGTTCCAGGTTTCTCACTTGTGCACTTCTCTTTGTTTCCAGCTGCAGTTGAGCTCTCGACTGACAGTTCTTGCAGCAATAACTCCTTTTTCCAAGGTTAGTTACATCACTAAACTACTTTTCCTCAACATTCCACCACCGCTGATTTTTCTCTGATTTTACTGTTCCCATCTCCTTGCTGTTGCATTAAATTGCAACTCTCTTAAGGAAGAGTATTTTTTGGCCACCATTACTGAGCAAGGAGCAGAGCTATTCAATCCCCTTCACCTAATGTCAATGTTGAACTAACACACAGTTCTGCTTTACACACAGCCTGTTCCTTTTCTTTGGTCTCAAAAATAACTTGTGAAATCAGTAAGGTTTCTCTCATAAATACACTATTCATATGAAGAACGTTCCTTCATAAGGTGCCTTCTCATGCAGAGTGCACCTTCAGCTCAAATCCAGCAAGCTGGGAGCAGCACTTACCAACCTCATCCAAGGCTCTTGTTTCCTCAGCTGTCAACCCACGCAGCATCAGATTTATAACCAGCAGGACACCTTCACTCAAGCACTGGTCGATGATGGCATCAAACTGCTCTGTGAATTGAGAAATACTTCACTTTGAATGACATTGCATACTCAGAGGCAGAACCAAACTGCTGGGTT